CTAATCCTCCACGTTTGGTTTTGATGCTGTTTTCTTTGGATGCTGTAGTCTCCATGTGTGTTTCTGCTCTTTGCTTGAATGAGTGTAATTCTTAGCATCAAGTTTCTGGTGCAAATAAGCATGATAACGAAGGCAAAACTCCCTTCCCATGAATAATTTCTGGGATGCATTCAGGCCCCAATTCAGATGGATAAATACGCATGGGAGCAAGAATGCACGTAATCCCATTAAATGAGAATTTCCACATGCTGAAAGGATGATACTTCTGTACCTCGGGGCTCAGTCTAGAAACTGTTATTTTGCCAGTAGATAAATCCCCTGACTCTTTGGAGAGAGCAAAAGCAACAGGCTACAGTCCGCATGAGCTTGTTGGCAAAGTCAGTCTGGTGTTTTTATGTAGTCCTCACCCAGCACTGCTCAGGGCTGGAGCTGTTATCACAGGGGAAATAATAGCACAGGTTTCCCTATATCTGATCTAGTTAATGCCAAGTTCACATCGAAGAACAATATTCCCCCTGCTCACCAACGGCTGAAAGCTATCTGGCTTTCCCTGGGTGCTTGTTTCACTAAAAATAGGGTCACACTTAAGGAAGGGGCAGCCTCAGGGCCAGCTGCCACTGCATTTCTGGGGCACCCTGGAGGTCTGTGCTCTGGTTTGCAGTGGTTTTGGGGAGAAAAGCCAGAGGTCAGGGCCTGTGTTGGCTCCCGGGCCTGGGAAAAGCTTTGGACAAGTCCCAAAGCCCCTCAGGGCTGGGCAGGGGCCCAGAAGAAGGAGGCTGGTTATAGAAAAAATATTGTCAATAGCCATGGAGGTATGCAGGACACATGCACAGCAGAAACCCCTATCCAATGCCTACTGCAGAACTACATGGAGATGTCTACCAGTGGGCTGACACCCCTTTTTGTGGTTTGATTCGTATCAGGAACAAACCTCTATCATCGCTTGGTTTTATTTCAGCACCACAACCATAACAGACACACGAGGCATTAAGTAAAATCCTACTTTTTTTCCTGCACCCACTACTATAATGGCACCTGTACAATAGCAACCAGGACAGAAGACACGTCACCAGCAGAGTAACACAGTCTCAGGAAAGCATCACTGCCAGGTTCTCCCCGCACTCCTACTTCCCCACTAGCCGTGCCGTGGGGCCAATAGCCATTTTGTGCTGCAGAAGGGGTGATCCAGCAGAAAGTTAGGATGCACTGGGGATGAAGTCACATGCAAAATCAGTGGCGGAAGCCCCTGCCGCTGCAATACTGACTTTCAGCTCGCAGAGTTCACAGGCAGCCTGTCCTCACAACTTCTTCTGCAGGCTAAGGGGCCAGCTGGAGGTTTTCTGGATTTGTTTTTGTTTTCCCAGCAAGAGCACTGCTGTTGGCATCAGAGATGGCCTCTGTGACTCTGGAGGTAAAAATCAACAATCAAAGCTGCAAGCAAAGAAAAAGAAGGGGAAGGAGCTGAGGAAAACAAGTTACAAAGGAAAAAACACATCAGTGCCAGTAAAGTAAAGCAGAAAAGGGTAACAGACAGGTGAGTCCAGCCTGAAGTCCTCATATGAGGAGCAAATCACATGTTGTTTAGTAGGACGGTCCATTGGGAAAGAGCCCAGAGGGATTTTTCTACCTGCTCCTTCATGGCAAGGCCAGTTGGGAATTTGTTTTGAATCTTCTCCTTTGGGGCTATTAGCCCTTTCCCCACATGCACACATTATTTACTCCTGGCTTTGCATTCACATGTGAGAGTGGCTGAGCAGAGGTGGATTGGGGCAGGGGAAGGACACGCAACAGCACTGGAGCATCCCCGGCAAGCCATGCCAGAGTGTTTGCCGTACCAGGCTGTGCTGCCAAGGGGCAAATGGCTCCAGCCCACTCCATAACTCTGGCCTCGGTAAGTCATCCCAGTTAACAGATTTACCCAGACTTAAACTGAGAAGTTTTAACCGAGAGATACTTCAGGACTCAATGATCGGAGAGATCTCTAAGCATTTGGTGGACCTCGGTCAGGTCTCCAGCTGTGTTTCACTCATACAAAAGAAGAGCTTCCCACCACCCAAAGGTGTAGCAGAAAGAAACAATTTTGCTTTTAAGTGCTTCTGTTTCTTGTCTTAAGATCCCAGCAGTTGATAGCAAGCCAAAGAGAATGACAATAAATTACACAACTATGGCAGAATACTACTTGCAGGAAGGAAAATAAATCACCCTAATTCCAAGTGTGGAAGGAAAGAATACCCCTCCCAACAAAAAACACAGAAAGCATCCAGCAAGCAGGGGCAGCCAGCGTATGGGACCTCCCCCACCAGCTGCAGGACAGCATGTCTGCCTTTGCTCCCATCACTGCTCTTTGTTTCGCAGATGGAAATCCATTTGCTTTTCTTTTTTTCTGCAAGATACGTTTGGATGCTGTATTTTGATTAGTGGCCTCAGCAACTACATCAAGTTCAAACCAGACCTCAGGTTTCAGAAGAGAAGGCAAAGAGGGAACACTTGAGCCCTAACTTTTAAAACCACTCCACAAAGACAAAAATATTCCCTAACCAAATCCTGCTTTTGGTTGCACATGTGTAAACATGGGGAACTCCACTGGTGCCAAACCAGTAGACTGCCTATTCACATCCCTGCAACTGGAGCAGAATAGGGCCAGCTGTGCTTATGAAATCATGGGGGTTCAAAATAACCTGAATTTCTTGGGGTAGGAGTCTCTCCTAAACTAAAGCTTCCTTACTCAGGCTGGCAAAATAAAGTGGACTTAGAATGAGTTTAAATTGTATTATACTCATTTTCAGAAACCTCTGCAGCAAGACATAAAGAGTTCCGAGGGCAAATGCCAATAAAGCTCTTCTTACACTTTGTCAATGGGGCAGGAGTATATGTTGGCAATGGCCAAGGGATGGGGACAGGAGCGTGACTTGCAGCAAGGAGATTCCCTGCCCTTTGGTCTGCCCAAATCTCGGTCACAAGTCCTCACCAGGGAAATTATATGGAGCTTTGCTACCAACCCTCAAGAGACCAATATCTGGCATCTTTCCTAAAATAAGAAGTTGAAGCCTTTCTGCATGAGCATGAATGCCAGCTGCAACACGATGGGGGGCACCGGGGGGTCCCAGGACCTCACTCAGATGTGCCACAGCCCTCCGAAAACGGGAGGCAGCTTAATATCGAGGAAACTAGAGATCTATCGGGTGCACCAGCTTTAAGTGCCACCAAAGGAGTGGCTATTTCAAACAGAGTCAGCGCTCACTGCCACCTGCTTTTCCAGCTTTTACCACTCAAAGTATGATGGATGAAATCCTGGCTCCGACAGTTGAAGCCAACCGACTGAAGCTGAAGCAGGATTTTGAAGTCTCAATGAAAAATACATCTCTTATGGTTTTTCCCAGCACGGTCACTATTGCCTGATACATTCAGCTGTGTCTGTGACTGGCTTTCACAATTTCTTGTGCAGGATAAATGAGGCGAGAGTGGCAATAGATCACGCCGTGGGGAATGGCTTCTGCCTCTGGCTGGGGACGGACCTGTCTGGGGTGCGAGAGGCTCGCAGCGGCCAGGGAAGGGTGCCTGCCTCTGCCGCCCGCCTCCCTTCTCTCCTCCTCGAAGGAAAATCACAGCTGGGAATGGCGTAGAAGTAACCTGGAGCCCTTCAGCAAATCTGGGCAGATTTGCTCTTCTCTCTGTTCAAGCTGCTTTAATGCACGGCTGCACAACAGTCACGGTGGCTGTTCCCAAATGATGCACCAGCACACGGCACTTGGGAAGGGCATGTATTTAGTAATTAAAAAAATGGGGAAATTGAGTTTGCTCTTGTACATGAGCTTCTGGGGAGGAGGGGAAGGGAGGCAGTGCTACCACTGCCCCTGCGTGTGCCTGGGCTTTTTGGCGAGGCCCCACTTTTCTAGCTCAGTGTTCCTCGCCAGCCCTCTGCCAGAGCTAAGCGTGATGGAGCAACGCTACACCAGATCCTGCACTTTGCACCCAAGAACCTGCCAGTGCTTCACAGAGGGGTGCAAACATCACCCCTCTCCCCGGGGGTGAAACCCAGGCACGCAGAGATTAAGGCCCAAACTTTTCTATTTGGTTTCTGGTACTCGGTTTTGGCCACTCTGGGAGGTGCTGAGCATCAGCAACGCCAGGCAAAGCCCCGAGGAGCTGCAGGTGCTCAGCATCTCTGGCACGGACCCCTTGGGCTGGATGCGCCCCGTGCCAGAAGCCAGGTGAATTTACCAGGCTGGTGGATTCAATGTCTTGCTCGAGGGCAGCACAGCAAGTCAGTGCCAGAGGAGGACTATGACTCCCGGCCCCGTGTCTTCCTTTCCTTTCACTCTGCCTGTAACACACAGCGACTCGAAGGAGATAAGAGCTTCAGGATGAGACCGTGCTCTTTCATTTCATTTGCTCAGCTCTGGTTGGCTCCTGACCAGCACCGTGTACCTGCCTCTCCTCTGAAACAAGGGTGCTGCAGATCCCCAGCACTACAGGAATAAGGCCAAGGATGAGCTGACTCCCAGCTGGTGGCAATTTAACTCTTGCCATGGCTTTCAAGGAGGAGGAGGGGAGAGAAAGCAGCAGTTTCTTAATCTGAGCAGTAACGGCTCTGCTAAAGCCAGGCAGACTTGCAGTCCAATTTGAGGAGCGAGAAATGGCATGCTATTGAAATCCTCCCGTGTTGCAAAGTTAATGTTGATTCCTACCTACAGAAATAGCCTATCCCCCAGCAAACTGGAAGGAGGGACATTACTGGAAGTAATTTTTAAAAGAAAAAAAAAATAATGCTCAGAAAAGTATCTCTATTTAAATAATCCAGTTGAGATGTTCGTAGTTAATGGAAAAAAAATACAACATATACTGTTACCTACACTGAGAAAAGTATAATTCACTGGGGAAGAGAATGAGTGTTCATTAGTTAGAACATTGCTAGACTCACATATATATATATATTTATATATGTATATATATTAGTTAGAACATTGCTAGACTCACATATATATATATATTTATATATATGTATATATATGTACAGCACCAGAGACTGTTAGATCCATTCCCCCTGGAGTCATTGCAGTTTGTGATAAATGAAACATTTCAGAATTGCAGTATAAAATATGGCCATAAAAAATCTTCTTTCTTCTAGTCCTTCGCTGAGCGTGCACTGCAGGGTGGGATCGTGCAGAAGAACCCTGCCAGCCCAGCCGCCTGCCCGCTCCACGCCGCCCCGGCTCTCACTTGCTCCCTGTGTGCACTGTGGTCACTGTGGTGGGTCTGGGTCTTCGGTCCCCTCCTACTGCAGAAACGCCTGAAGAAGCAGATGAAACAAAACTACAGAGAGTGGATGGAGACATACCTAAAAGGAAAGCCAGAAACAGAGTTAGAAATGTTATTTTTGGAGGCGGGACTGTGGGCAAAGCTGCGTTTCTTTCGTAGCACGCTACAGAGTGGAGGGGACTGCAGCTGGAGAAGGTGCTCCTGCTCTTCCTGCAGCGATGGGTTGGCTGGGCACCTCCACGGGGCATCTTCTGCCCTCCTGGCCCATGGCTGTTTGCCTACTGCCACCACTGGCAGTTGCATATGCATGTCGCAATGAGTAAATGTGCAGCTTTGGTACATGTTCAACCAGACTGATTCCACTTTTCTGGGGCTGAAAACAAAGAGTTCTGGGATTCAAAAATCCCTCCAGCATTGTACTTGCTCAGAATAATTTTCCTTGTGGGCATGTTGAAGGTGATTAAACTTCTCATCATGGCCATCTAGCTAAATGAACAGACTGTGCACCTGGACTAAAAAAATTTCCCCAGGCATCCTGCAAAGCTGCTGACAAAAAAGTACAGTGGGTCAAACTCGTTGGTGAGTTCCAGTAAACCTAGAGGGACTGTAAATTTGTGTGACTTGGACATCATTCTAGCGACAGCTTATGTCGCTCCAGGTTTTGCTGGTATGTCTCCAGGACTTCCAGCTAAGAGACATAGGTTGATGTAGGTTGAGTATCTGGACCCAAAATTTACCCAGGCAGTTCCTTTTGAACTAATTAAAGACTTCTGACAGATAATTTTTGTGAAAAAAATGGGGGGGTTTAGCTAAATTTAAATGTTTATAGAAAGTGTCCACTTCCAGTGAACCCTCCATCACAGCTTTAAAAAACACAACTCTCCAAAACATAACCCCTGAAAACCCAAAGTAGGCTGGGTTTTGAATGACAGATTCAAGATTTTGCTATTCCAGCACAACGTCAGCAGTTTCTACAGAAAGCATTAATGAAGAGAAATCAAATATATCCTTGCCAGAGCTTTCCATGGATGAACTACCCCTCTCCCAGTGGCCGCTGAGACCCCACCGGGGAGATCCCTAGATTTTGCCGGCACGTGCAGCTCTGCATGCAGTTTGGCAGCCTTGTAGGCACTGATGTGCAAAGGTAGCTCTGGTGCGAGAAAAGCTGCCGAACAGGGACCCAGCATGGTCACCTTGCTCTGACAAGATGCAGGCTTAGAGTGATTAGAAATCCAGTTCATTTTTCCAGCCTGGTGAATAAAGGATGGATGAAACCTATATTAATATATTCTTGGACTGGAGTTTGATATGGCCCCTTGACTACTCAGGATCTTTTTGATGCTTGTTACGACTTTTAACTACTTTTCCATGCTTCAAGGTGGCATTTCAACCTCAGGGATGACTATGCTGTACCTACACTCGGCCACATCCCGTTTCCCAGCGGTATCAACATTTGACACGTTGGCTTCACCTTGCAATTTATCTATTACCTTAAAAATACAGAGATCTAGGTCCTGTAATTAATCTAGGCAGTCCAATCATGTCTAAACAGAATAAACCAGGCACGGACCGAGAATCAGGCCAATATACTTGAGAAATCCCAAGTGATGCACTTAGACTTTCCTGACAGGCAGCATAATCCAGCCTAATGCATCCTCTCTGCTCTGCCCTAATACAGAGAACAGAATTAGGATGCAGCCTGACATAACCTACTCTGAGGCGAAGGCTGTATTTAATTGTCTTCAATGATGTGAAATTGCTGCATTTGAAAGTATTTGGAGAGCTCATTAAATGTCTATTAATAGCATTAGGCAGTATTATATTTTGTAATTGTGGCACAGCTGTTTCATGTAACTTGCTGCATGGGATCTTTCTTGTGCAAGAAATCTGTCCCCAGAGAAAACCGCTGAGAAAGAAAGAGGCAGGACAGAGACCTCGGAGGTTTCCTTTTTCCCAACAGGAGGTATTTGGTGGAGTGCATTTGATATGTCAGCTCCCTCTTAATGTCACTTCTTGTATTTGCTGCTGGCTCTCCTCAACTGGTTCTCTGGGGCTCCAGCATCTCCTAACTCTTTAATTGATTTCTTTGAGGAAGGGAAGCTCTTCTGTATTGTTTGTCAAGCTAGACTTAACCTGGGATGCTTGGAAATCTTTTGATACTTTTCTGCCTCATATTTCTGACATGAAAAAGCTTGACCTATCTTAACACATCTGGTTTTATCCTTCGTATCCTGGCTGACTTCTCCACCACTGCAAAATATGGTCGGATTCTGTACAGGGACCTGCTGGATTCTGTAGCGGTTAAAGAGACTTTGTTCTCTTCCCACCCTTCTTGTTCACAGATGTTTTTCCATTACTATTCAGACTACTCAATGCTATTAATTAACACCATTTGAGATTAATCACCCATCAGTTTAACAGCAAAACATGCCATCAGATGCTCTAGACCTAACTGGGGTCTAGCTTAGCCATACTGCAGCAGGAACCAAAATAAAGGTGTCTTTCTCCCCTGTAAGGGGTTTTCTACATCACTGCATTGCCAGTGCATGGTTGGAAGTGCTTTGCGGCCAGGCAGCACTGCATCGCTCCTTTGCAGGTGCCAGATGTGTGCCAGGAGCACAGTGATGCTTTTTCAGTAGCAGCTGGATTTGGCATTGGGCATTGCAAACTGGGCACTGGGCATGAATCCCCATCAGGCCCAGGATGCGGAGGGAAGGGGCTCTCCTCTGGCTCAGCCACAGCACAGGCTGGGAAAAACATCTCACGCAGCGCCCAGAAGGCAGATCCCACCCCAGCCGTGGGGGAAACCATGTTCATGACAGCAAGAGAAACCACAGCTTCCATACAGAGCCACGGGGACTGTGGCTGGTGGCATGCCCTCGTCAAGGAGCAGAGGTTGGCAGGCAGGGGTGGCAGAGGCAGATAGCAGCGCCATCCAAAATCCATCCTGAATAGTAGGTGCTTTCTGTTCCAGAATAGTGTGGGGTATAGTTTAGAAATGACCACTTCAGTCCCCAGTGAAGTAAGCACTGACTTGCAATACCGTAAGCTACTAGCATTCCTTTTTGGTGCCGCACCTTAAAATAATCTCCTCGAATTGTAAAGTCCCCATCCCTCCATTTCATGATATAAAAATCTCTACAGATGGACAGAAGGAAATAAAAGAAATGCTCAGAAGTCAGAAATTAAATAGGCTTCATTGCAAAGGACGCATTTCTGTCTTCCAAATGATCCCTTCACTGCCATGTCTCCTTCCCTGGCATCCAGAAAAAAATATATATCCCAAGCATCTGACTCCATCGGGCAGCTTGCAAATCTCAGTTATAGCATATAACTAACAAGGCAGCGGGCCAAGTCCTGTTGTGTTGTACAGAACCTGAGTCCTGCTCAGACAAATGAGCCTCTTTGTACAGGAGCTTAATTTGGCCCAGGAAGAGGGAAGCTGTGTCAGACTGGCAGGATCAGCCTCCTCCATGGAAAATGGAAATGGAAAGTAAGCCAATTTTTACAGAAAAATGTCTTATCATAATACTGGAAACTCAAACATAAACAGTTTGAGCAAACTTTTTCAGTTTTCAACCAAATACAAAACTTTTCTGCTGTGGGGGTCTGGGTCTTTTTCCCAAGTGAAAGCCCTTTTTCTCCATAAGAAACAGTGTTTTTCTCTCAAAAATGCACCGAGCTAAAACCTCACTTTTTTTAGTGCATAAACTTTTCCAATGGAATCGTTATTTTTTTGGCCAGCTAAAAATGAAGGCCTCGGTCCCTTTTCAGTCCTTATTTTAAACACCTGCTTGCACAAAGCCGAACCTACTGGCAGTGAGGACTGCAGCATGGGCGTCAAGGAGAAAATGGGGATCACACGAATTTGCTCAGCTGCCGCGGCGGGATTTTTCCCGGGATGTTGGCTACTCACAATCTTTCCGTGTGGCTGCGTCAGGAAGTGGCGCGGCGAGGCTGAGGGTGCTCGACACGCTGGCGCTCGCACTGTCCAGGCTGCTGCCGAGGTGTAACCGTCTCATGTGTCGCACGACTGCTGTGGCATTAAACGCTTGCTGGAGCAAAGGAAACAAGAAAGAAAGAAAGAATAAAAAAACTGGAGGTGGAAGGGTTACTTCTGCTCCTCTCCTGGCTGCTCAGAGTTGTCAGAAGTGAATGAGCCCATCATCTTTCAAACTTTTCCCAACTTCTAGTTTCTAAGCTAGAATCAGCAATATCAAACCATATGAATTTCTGCCCTGCTCCCGCTCCCCGTCATTCCTTCTAGCACTCAGTTGGGATGTGGCAGCCTACAAGAAAGTCATATTTGACACATCCTTCCCTGTACCAACGCACAGGGTGTCCGCATTGCTTCATGTCCCCCGCACAGCGCTGACCCCAACTCTGCATATAACCGCTGGTGCTGTAGCCATGAGCAGCCCCAGCCCCATCTCTCACACTCATTACATTTATACTCTTGGTTAGTAGCATCCTCCTTAAAAGGCCCCACAAGACCATGTAACCTAAGACTGGACCAACTATTTTGACCAAAATTTTGGGACACAAAAGCACTAACATGCTGAAAGGGTGGCCGTATGGCCGCTGCGTTAGCAGAGCTATGTGTCCAAGTGTCACCCCTGAGGAGGGTCACTTACTCTCCATTTGCTTTTTGCAAAGTTCTTCCGGATCTGAGCGCTGACCGACTCGTGGATGTTTTTGTTGAGCGCTGTATCACCAGCGATCCTGAAAGAGACAGACAAGACAAATTTTAAGAGATCTTTTACTCTCCTTGAATACTCTTTCTTCTTCTCCTCAACAGAGAAGGCTGGTCCAAGGTGTGATTGCTCCTGCAGTGATGATGATTTCATTCACATGAGGGCTCAAACTTCCCACCGCTGTCTCTGCTGGCAGCAGTGGTGGAAAATCTGGGGCAATAAAAGCAAGCGTAGATAAGGCTTGTAGGTCTGGCAGCTACAAAGAGGCATGATCTTATTTTGTTGGTGCACGGCTGCTTTCTATCACCATTACAGCCCTAGATGAAAACAGTCTATCTTTTTTTTTCTTTACATCTAAAGATTTAACATCAACAGGCTGAGACTACTTTTAGCCTCAACCATGCAGCAGCTTCCAGAGCCACTCCAACCTGTCTGATTTCTGTTTGCACTGGAGATTTTCCTGCCACCCTGCAACATACATAGCCATTCATCATGATTGATGTAGATTTACAGTAAAGCAGATACATGGACGCTCACTACAGCAGCACAGGCTGCACAAATAGCTTAAGCTGAACAACACTCAACCTAAAAATTTAACTGATCTTGCGCAGTTTCTTGAACAGATAAAGACACATTCAAATCTCCGGGAAACACAATTATTTCAAGGGAATTTTATTGATTCAATTAACTCCTCAAGGCATGAGGTCTGTTGGAAGAGTAGGCACCGCAGTGAACTGATGTTGGGCCATGTGCTGAGATAATTAGTGCTATCTAACATAGGTGAAAGCAAGGAAGCAAAGATTGCCTCCTATGTTGTATGTGATATTTTAAGAAATCAATTTTTTAGCCACATTGTAGAAATCCAATGTCCATCAGCAATTAAAAAATCATAAGAAATTGAAGAATCCATCAGGCCCAGAGCCTCCCAGCCTGGGGACCTCCAATAAAATAATCAGAGGGTCTGGGGGACTCAGCGGTCATCTAGTCCTTCCCTCCAACCCAGCTCTGTCAAAATAATTTTGACAGATATTTGGCTAATCAGTCCTTAAAGATCTCCAAAAGATGGGGACTCCTCAGGCAACCTATTTCAGTGCCCCACTATCTCCCAGAAGACATAGAAAATAGTTTATTCCCTTTGTCTTTGAAGCATCCTTTCACATATTTGAAGACTGTTATCATGTCTTCTCTCCGTCTTCTCTTCTCTAGACTAAACAAACTGATTCCTTCACTGTTTCTTCATAACTCATATTTTCTAATCCTCTGATCTAGTGAGCTTCTCTGGACTTTCTCCAACTAGTCCAAATCTTTCTTAGAGGGCGGTACCCAAACTGTTCGCTGTTTTCCAACTAAGGCAGCAGAATGGCAGCATTGCTTTGTGTTTCTTAAAAGATGAAACTCTGCTTACATACCCCAGCCTGCTGTTTCCATTTATGTGTCCCATGAATTAGAGACATTCATTTTGCCCAGATCACTCCACACATCTAAGAAGTGTTCTCTGGGACCAGTCTCCTCCAAATTGCTCCCCTCCTTCCTGCTGGTAATACTCACCCAAGAAGTGAAAGAGATGAGAGGAACTACTTACTCTTGGGAGGAAGGTGAGGGACTAAACCCCCATCTCCCAAAAGTGGAGAGCCACAAATCCCATCCTGTTGCAACTGAGCTGATCTATATTGAGTTATTCAAGAGTACTGGAGCCAGCAGGATCATGGCCAGGAAGGAGCAGGGTTCCCATTCAGGGTAGCCACCTCCAACTGGGAAGGGCACTTGGCTGACCACCACGACCACATAACCTCTATCTCAAGTAGACAGAAGAACTGGTACCATGAGCAAAGCATAGCTCCCAAATGGCACCTGACATCCTCACTTGGGCCCCTATGCTGTTGATGGAGAAGGGGAGGTGTTTGACTGAGAACTGGAAGATCTTCAGATCTTCCTCTGAAGAGGATTCCTTCTGATCACCTCTCCCACTGACAGGGAGGCAAGTTGGTCTGGATTTCCCACTGGGGCTAGGCAGCTAAAAGTTTAGCGAGGCAGCATCTAGGTTAAGCATTATGTTCGCTGTTCCATCCTCTGTCCCTCACAGGCAATACTGCCAGGCCCATCACAGAGCCTGATGGATCCCATGCAGTATATACTCCCAGATGGACACAGAGCCCACCTGGCCTTGCACCCACCATACAGTGCATTTTCTGCATTTCTCTAGCATGAAATCATCATGTGAAGTAGCTCCTACAGCTTTGCCACAGCCACACCTACATGACCCAAATGAGATAACACAACACAGAGTGTCCCTGACTGCCTCCAGGTCACTTCTATGAAGAGATGACCCAGCAGCCTGAGAAGACTCTAGTTGTACTGCCTGCCCTGCACAGCTCCTTAGCTTAGGTGCACAAGCGTGTGCAGATTTGCGTCCGCTCTCCTTGCACCCGCTCAGCCTTTTGGTGCAGACAGGCCCTACAGTCACTCCAAAATGTCATGAGCACTCTGCTCTGTCCAAGGACACCTCCTCGGTGAAGGCAGGTGTCCTCAACACTGTGTCCCCAGCCAGCTGGGAGCACTGACTGTCATACTACAGATCTGCAGAAGAAAACTAAGCTGAACACTTAATATGTGGACAGCTACAAGCCAAAGTATCAGTTCAGTAACTGATCAAAAAGACCAAGCTGCAAAGAGAAAATTTACTTACATTTGCAAAGAACATTTTTCCTCCAAAGCTAATGAAGCATTTTGCTTTATGAACAAGTTTGTTAACAAGCTGTATAAGCACAGATCATGTTTCCCACTTGTGAAATTTTTACTTTGGAAACATGGGCAGAACAAGTTCTTGGGGTATGATACCCCTGCCAGCTCTTCCAGAAGATCTTTCCTGCCAGTCTCCACAAGGACTCATAAATGCATTTTTGCTATATGAAACTTTTCATCGGGCGTGTAGCTCAAATACAGGCTATATATTTTTTTTGAGTTTAGGGATCATTTTCTGAAATGATGGTGGTTTCAATAAGAAACTGCTGGTTCCAATAGTTCACAAACTGTCTTCTGCCACCACTAACTCTATGTTCACCATGCAATTCTTGTATTTATAGAGAAAAAGTCTTGGTATTTGGGTGTTTCCCAAATAGGCAGAATAGTACTTGTATACTTCACAAGGGGATGGACAGACACCCTGTGAAGCCTTCGAACACCACAGTGGTGGGAACCATCCTACATCTAAGGTCTCTTCAGCAGCATTAGCATCTTACAGATGCTAGTTTTTAATTAGAGTAAAATAACAGCAGTGCTGGGGCTAATTTAGCGCAGCAGGATCCGTTCAAACACGTGCTGGTATGCCGAACAGTGTGGCCCAAAACGCAGCCCTGGCTGCCAAAGCCGGGTGTGGGATCACTCTCCAAGCTGCCTCTGAAGAACTATCCTGTTAACGGAGCAATGCTGTAACATGAGGACTCTGCTTTTATACTGTATTTTGCCTTGGAGGATCTTCAAACTTTTATAAAATACTCATGGCATTATAGTGTTTATAGTATAGTTTTACTTCTAGGAAAACAAAAGAAATGTTAACATCCATTCGCTGTTGGTGTTTTGCTGGAGATGTGGTGGTTTAAGGACACAGGCAAGAGAGGTGGAGGTGAGCAGGTAGAAGTCATATCTTTTATACAATCCACTGTTAGAGTTTGAACCACCCTGAGGTGGGTATCATGAGCATCATCACATCTATACTGAATGCATTTAATCACAAACTTTACTTCCCATGCTGAGAAGATAATGCATGACCTGTTATCATGCTGAGCATCACCCAGAACCGAGCAAGGACTGATTAGCCTAACTGGAACCTGGCTTTTCTCTTGGGGTCCCCTTTTTGCAGTGCCTGAAAGCAGCTACATCCTAACAACGGTTTGGGGAACTTCATGTTGAAGCTGGTCTTACATCCAGTTGTAAATATATTAAGTGTCTCAACACACAGAATTGTATACCAAAGGCTATAATCTGACGACTCTCCATCACAAATACTTCCACTGAAGCTAAGAAGGGTATTTCTCATGAACAACCATAACAAATCTAGCCCTGCACATGAGAGGAATCTAATCTAATGATCAAATATTGTTTCATAGTATCTAAGTTATTTTAGCTCTCCATCTGGGTTCAAAGCTATCACAGCAATTTATCTGGCCATACCACTTCTAAGCTTTGAGAGGACCCTCCAACAAAGACAAACCCAGTAAATTTACTTTTGGACGGTTCTTTGTTAGCATACTGCAAGCATATGTCTCTCGCATCCTCCCTGCCCACGATGGCAGGCAGAGTCTTTCTTCTACCATTATTTTCTGAACCTTCATACTGAAGGCAGCCAACTCAAACGCTGTGCTGGCCAAACAGTGCTTGGAAATACTCTTGATTATGATGACAGGAAACATGAAGTTAGCTGTAATGGATAATGCCGACAGATCATAACTCTTCTATACATACACACACATATATATACACACACATACACACATGCATGCGTATATATATACACACGCACATACTGTATCAGTGATGCTCCAAAATAAATAGAGTGCAGGGACGAAGTCGATAAGAGTTTGATTTAATGTTGTAAACATCAGCAGTTCCCTTCAGGGAACCCTTTTCACACTTCAAACAACATTGTCTGAGAACTGAGCTCTTTGTAAACCACGTCCTTTCCCTGGGTGGAAATTATTATCTGGCTCGTGCTCTCTGGCACATAATAAACACTCAGGGTCATGGTCACAATTTGCAGAGGCTCAATCCTTGCCAAAGCTTTGTGATTCTTCAGCGTAGGCGGGGATGGACATCGGCACGTCCCAAGTATCCACTCTCCATCTCTACAAGCAGTGGGGAAAGGCGAGGGCCACACTCGTACCTGTGGACACAGGTGTCTAACTTAGGTGCCACAACCTCCTTCTCCCCTACACAGTCTATACAGGGAGGCAATACATACATCACCCTTTAATTTAGATGTCCCAGGTTGCCTTCGATGCTGTAACCGGCTTCAGCACACAGCTCTAAATC